TGCCGTTTCGGGGCTACTGGCCACAGCCCGGCCTACCACTCGACCGCCACAAGTAGGTTCAGACTAGACATCCGAAGGCACTACTTCACAGTCAGGGCAGTTAGGACCTGGAACCAACTTCCAAGGGAAGTGGTGCTGGCTCCTACCTTGGGGGTCTTTAAGAGGAGGCTTGACGATTACCTAGCTGGGGTCATTTGAGCCCAGTTTTCTCTCCTGCCCAGGGCAGGGGTTGGACTAGAAGATCTACAAGGTCCCTTCTGACCCTACATCTATGAATCTATGAATCTACGAGATGTAGCCTCACCAGTGCTGAATAGAGGGGAAGAATCACTTCCTTGGACCTACTGGCAACACACCTACCAATGTAGCCCAGGATGCCATTAGCCTTCTTGGCAACAAGGGCACACTGCTGGCTCATATTCAGCTTATTGTCCCCTGTCCCCCCAGGTCCTTTCCTGCAGAGCTGCTTCCCAGCCTGTCAGCCCCCAGCCTGTCTTGGTGCATGTGCTTGTTCTGTCCTAAGTGCAGGACTTTGCACTTGTCCATGTTGAACCTCATGAGATTCCTTTTGGCCCAATCTTCCAATTTGTTTAGGTCACTCTGAATCCTAGCCCTACCTTCCAGCATATCTACTATTCCCTCCAGGTTGGTGTTGTCTGCAAACTTTGTGAGGGTGCACTCTGTGCCATCTTCCAGGTCGTTGATGAAGACGTTGAACAAAACTGGCCCCAGGACCAACCTCTGGGGCACTTCACTTGATACTAGCTGCTAACTAGACATCAACCCATTGATTACTAACCTCTGAGCCTGATGCTCCAGCCAGTTTGCTATCCACCTTTCAGTCCATTCATCCAGCCCATACTTCCTTAGCTTGCCTGCAACTATGTTGTGGGAGACTGTATCAAAAGCCTTGCTAAAATCAAGGTACACCAACAACATCCACCAGTCTCCCCACATCCATGGAGCCAGTCACCTCATCATAGAAGGCAATCAGGTTGGTCAGGCATGGCTTGCTCCTGGTGAATCCCTGCTACCTAATCCTAATCACCTCTTTCTTCTCCAAGTGCTTAGAAATGGATCCTTGAGGATCTGCTACATGATTTTTCCAGGGACTGAGGTGAGGCCGACTGGTCTGTAGTTCCCTGGGTCCTCCTTTGTCCCTTCTTTAAATAGGGGCACTATGTTTGCCCTTTTCCAATCATCTGGGACCTCTGCTAATCGCCATGAGCTTTCAAAGATGAAAACTGGA